ATCAAAACGGTTCAAGCACAGATGAGGTTCTATAGTCACCTCTGAAGCTGCCTCACTTACTGAGGAAGAAGAAATCGCATTAGGGAGGATGCTAAAGATTTTGTTTCTAATAGAATTAATTTTACTTGTAAAAAATCCCATGAAGTCATTGCTGCTGAGGGCTAAGGGAATAGATGGCTCAGAGCTACGATTCTGTGTAAGTTTAGAACTGTACTGAAAAGAAATTTAGGATTATGCTTATTCTCCTCAATTAATGCTGAAAAATAAGCAGTTCTAGTTTGTTGAAGCTTATGTTTATAAAGCACAAGACTATTTTTCCAGGACAGGTAGGCCTTCTCATGGTGCGTAGAGCGCCATGTTCTCTCCAATTTCCTAGAGTTTTGTTTTAAGGCTCGTAGATGAGAGTTAAACCAGGGAGCCAACTTCCTGTCCCTAATTACCTTCTTTTTTAAAGGGGCAACATCATCTAATGCCACACGTAAGGAGGAAGTAACATTATGAACTAAGGCATCAATTTGTGAGGGGCTAGAACTGAAAATATTGCCCTCTGCTACATGCCTCTAAGATGCTGAGGACAGTAAAGATGGAACAGTTGATTTAAAAGACGCAACAGCGTTGTCAGATAGAGACCGACTATAATGAAATTTACTTTCATGTCTCGAGAACTCAGTTATAAAAAACTCAAAGGTTATCAGAAAGTGGTCCGAGAGGACTGGATTATGTGGAAAGATTGTTATTTCCTCACACTCTATGCCATAAGTCAGCACAAGGTCCAATGTATGATGGCAGAAGTGGGTGGAGCTATGTATTCTTTGAGTAAAACCAATTGAGTCTAAGATATTGCTAAAGGCTACATTGAGGCAATCATTTTTGATGTCCACGTGAATGTTGAAATCCCCCACTACAATGACCTTATCAGTATTTAGCACCAAATCAGATAAAAAATCAGAGATCTGATCCAAAAACTCAGAGTAAGGGCCTGGTGGACGATATAAAACTACAAACAAGAGTGGTTTTACAGTTTTGCAATCTGGATTAGGAAAACTTAGAATAAGATGTTCAAACGAACTGTAGCTTTTAATCTGTAAGGGACTGATTAATAAGTCCGAATGAAAAATGGTTGCCACTCCTCCTCCTCGCCCTGTACTTTGAGCAATGTGATGATTTAAATAATTTGAAGGAGTCGACTCGTTTAAGCTAACATAGTCCTCTTGCTGCAGCAAGGATTCTGTGACAGAGAGCAAAGAGATCTGATTATCACAAATCAACTCATTAACTAACAAAGTCTTAGAAAAAATAGATCTAATGTTATACAACCCACCTTTAATTTTTCTAGTTTTCTGCTCAGTTCAATTTGTTCTAATATTTATGAGATTTCCATGATTTGCTTTATTAAGCCTGATATTTATTCTGTGTGATTTTGGCCGTGGGCAGGACACTGTCTCTATGGGGTAGTGGGTGGGTAGCAGTACAGAAGCTGCAGAGGGGTGGGTTAAACTATGACTCTGCTTCCTGGTCTGGACCCTGGGTTGTCATGGAGGACTAATAAAACTGGCCATATTCCTAGAAAGAAGAGCTGCACCATCCAAAGAGGGATGGATGCCGTCTCTCCTCATCAGACCAGGTTTTCCCCAAAAAGTTTTCCAATTATCAATGTAGCCCACGTTGTTTTCAGGACACCACCTAGACAACCAGCGGTTGAAGGACAGCATGCGGCTAAACATGTCGTCACTGGTCCGATCAGGCAGGGGGCCAGAGAAAATTACGGAGTCCGACATTGTTTTGGCAAACTTACACACCAAAGCAACATTAATTTTTGTGACCTCCGATTGGCGTAACCGGGTGTCGTTACCGCCAGCGTGAATAACAATCTTACTGTATTTACGCTTATCCTTAGCCAGCAGTTTCAGATAAGATTTAATGTCGCCCGCTCTGGCCCCAGGTAAACATTTAACTATGGTTGCTGGAGTCTCTAATGCCACGTTTCTGACTATGGAGCTGCCAATGATCAGAGTCGGCTTGTCAGTGGGTGTGTCACTGAGCGGGGAAAATCTATTAGAAACGTGGACGGGTTGGTGGTGGCCCAAGGGCTGGGTTCTATGCTTCCTGCGTACCGTCACCCAGCCGGCCTGAGGTCCCGGCTGCTCGGGTTCCACTGGAGGGTCGCTACGGGGTTGTTATGAGCTAGTTAGCCCTGCGCTAGCTAAGTAACTACGGTTGTTTACAGGTTTTTCAACAGCGCGGAGCCGGGACTCCAATTCCTACACCCTCGCCTCCAAAGCTACAAAAATGCTACATTTATTACACGTACCATTATCACTAAAGGAGGCAGAGGAGTAACTAAACATCTGACACAGAGACACGCAAGAGATAGGAGACGGAGAAGCAGAGACAGAAGTAGCCATAGCCGTGCTGAGGCTAAGCTAACTGGACGAGCAGCAAACTGTTCAGTACCAAATAAACTGCGTGCGGACTCAAATGGTTCCCTAAAAGCTAGGTGGAACAACAGAAAATGTGCGTTTTAGCGTGCTTTTGTGCTACAATAACTCAGAGATATCCAAGTACAGAGAAATTAAATCAGCTTTAGCGAGCCCCAAACACCAAACAGCTACACGGAGTGCAACACTGAAAACAGGAAACAGGAAACGCCTTACCGCCAGGTGCAGCCAATCGCACCTGGCGGTAAGGCATTAGCTACTTCAGGCCATTCCTAAACTCTGATGTGGCTCATTTCTACTTCCTGAAACTGTTCCTGAGCTCTCTTTCCCCAGAGTACGACTTACAAGGCCTTCATTACTACTAGAGACCACTGCAAATGTATTGATTAAACGAGGGATCCCCATATTTAAAGAGCTCATAACAAAATTAGATGGTTGAATTGTTTCAGAGTTCTTGAGTTAATGACCTCTGACAAATAACAAGATGCTTTCAAGTGCTTAATTAGTAATTGTTCAACAATATATCTATTTATGTCAAGCTTTTAAACACCATTGTTGTTATTGTTTTATCTGAAGATCTGAATAAAGATGTATTGAGGAAGAGAATGCATTCATCTAGAAAACATTTAGTAATTATTTAAAGGTGCAAGCCTTAATAAACTTTAGTTGTTTTTATTGCACAAATAAATTAATGCAAGAGAGAGCTTCAATGCAGAAACCACACAAAGATATTCTGTTTTACAATGAGTTCAAACATTATAAATTAAAAACCATAACTACTTATTTACATATTCAAAGTGTTTTTGTTGATATATGTTGAAAATAAATATAACAATAAATATATAAATAGTGCAAAACATTATGGAGATCATGCAGTTTAAGATGACTTTTGAGTTAGCTATCTATCTATGCATCCACTAAGACACAAAAGTTACATCCATATAAACACACATCTTTAGTTTTCTTTTTCCTCTTTTGCTGTTTGTCAGTATGAAAAGCAAAGCACAGCTTGGGTCAGACAAGTTGACTTGAAGGTGATCAGCCAGGTAGACAGTCTTCGCTAAGAGACACTCAAATCATGGAGTTCTTCAGTCTGTCAAAGATCTGTTGGACTTTGATAGCAGGGACACAGCCTTCTCTCACAATGGTGATGACTCCTGAACGAAGGTTAGAAGAGCTTCAGTTAGAAACTTGACCTTAAACAGCCCCAGTAGGAAGAAATCATGGCCCCTTACCTTCATTAATCCTCAGGCAGTTGACCACAGTTGAAGCAACTACTTCATTCGAGTCACCATCACAAAGTACTCCTTGGATCTTGTGTCCCAGTCGACTGCAGCAAAAGAAGCAGTTTGAAACAGTAATTAGTGTATGGTGCTAAAAGTTTTAGAGATGTGTTGTTTGTTAGTTTGCATTAAACTTCTTTGAGGAGACTCTTACTTAATGACCATGCTGTGGTGGGTGCTGTCTGATTCTCCACTGGGATTGGCTGATGTTATGGCCAGGGGACCAGTGATGTCACATAGGTGGCAGGTCACGGTGTGGTCTGGGACACGGATCATGATGCTGTCTCTGGTACCAACACGGTCATAAGCAGGTCCAACTCCTACAGAAATGAGGTTAAAGTTCACGTAAAAACTGAAAACTGATACAGAATTCTGCCACTCAACATTCAAACACTCTACACTGCTGACCTAGTCTGTAAAGCCAGTCTCCTTTGCTGACAATGCAGCTGATGCCTCCAGGATACACATTCCTCATGAACTCCCACAGCAGAGGGCTGAAAGGAGGCCTGGCTGCAACCAGCTGTTCCACACTGGAGATGCAAATGCATATAGGCTTCTCTGCAGGTCTGTCCTGCAAAAGGTCCAATTCAACAAGATGGTGACTTCATGAAAATGTATATTGCTGTTAAACAAGCCTCCTCCATCTTCTTACTTTAATGTTGTAGATTTTTTCTATCGCCTGAGGATTCTTGCAGGAAGCAGCCAGAGCGTACACAGTATCTGTGGGAATACCACACACACCCCCGTCCTCGAGAAGTCGAGCTATCTTCAACAGACCGCTGGTGAGACGCGAGCTAGCCACCGGACAGGACGGCTCGTCACAAGCTTCCTGTTTCACATTTTCCTAAAACAAAACACACACACATTTTTATTAATTATTCATGCTGATACTTAAAGGTAGGTCAATCTAAACTTCAGTCATTACCTTTATTATGGGAGGACCCATTGGGATGACTCTTTGTGAGAAGATGCAGTTCATCAGTGAAGCCAAGGTGCCATAAAAGCAAATGATGGATACCAATGCAAGCATGGCAACTGCAATACATCGTTTCTGGATGTTAGACTTTATTTGTTCTGATGAGAGTCAGCATCGTAAATACATAAAGTTTATAACAGGCGGTTTTAACTCACTTTCAAGTTGGTATGGAAGTCTCTGCAGGGTGGAGAGAAGGAAGCAGACAAGAACAACCTCCATGATTGTTGTTAGAAACAACAGAACCACGTTCCTATAAGCAGCTAATAGAAGAAACAAAAGTACAAAATTATGAATGAATAAAAACTGAATTCCAGCGCTGAAAGCAGATACTAGACCTTACCAATCAGCATGAGGAAGGCATTAATGACCAGTAAAGCAACGCCTCCAGCTGTGAATCCATAGGCTGCCTGGACGGGGAGCTGAAGCTGAAAACCTGTAGAACAATAACTCCTGATGAGAATATTGTTCAAATCAGTCAGAAAAAATGTATTTTGCTCATACTTTATGCTGACATACCTGCAAATCGAAACCACGTCCAAGTTGCCCATACAACCACGTAGATGGATGAGATGACTGATCCAAACCGGCCCTCTCCGGTGACTTGTAGCCTGCTGACATAGGTCTGAATGATGCCTCCAGAGATGAGGACCCAGGGGACAGTCAGATGAAGGAATGAAGGGTTCCCACTTGACACTTCTGAATGAAGAGCTGAAAGTGCTGCAACCCCGTTGGTAAGATAAAACAGAGCATCTGAGGCCTGGTCACTGTTGGGCAGCTCTTTTTGTTCTCCATGTTGAGATCTTCTACACATCAGAGCTCTCTTCAGCTGCTCGGAGGAGACCGGCTGTGGTCCCACAGGGATTAGAGACTTCTCTGCGATGGTGTTTATGAGGCGTGAGAAGGTACCGTAGACTGAGACTGCAGTGAAGAGAGAGCAGGCTACACCAAAGAAGATGTAGTAACCCTGCAGGGGGATCTGGGGGATTGTTGAGACTGTGAGCAGAACAAAGAGCAAGTTGTGGATCAGCTCCAGAGTGTCCATGTTCAGGCTTCCCACACAGAGCACCAAGCCGGCCACCACAAAGAACCAGTCTCCCACCATGGCTTCCCTACCAGCAACAACTTGACTGTGCTCCACAATCAGGGCAGATGCCACAAACTCATCCCAAGCCTTGATCAGCCAATACATGGCATGAATCCCAAATTTTGTAGTGTGGTAGCTATCCTGGCGCAAATGAGCGTAGTAGCTGGAGAACAGCTGGGCGACTGAGATGATTGATACCCATGCAACTCCTAAACCAAACGATTTCATGTACCCAAAGCTGTAGAAGGCAACGATGAAGGGAGCAATAGAGTCACAGAAGAAACCCAAGGCCATGGGCTCTGCATATTTTGTGTTCTTCTTCTTCTCTTGACCAGGTTTCTGAGCACCTGTTGAGTTGGTGGTTCCTAGCAGGAGAACATTAAAGAGGGGGGTCCCAAAGCCTTTAAGAACCAGACGTTGAGTCAGCCCTTTGATGAGTAGAGCAGCTGAACCATAGATGGCAAAGATCAAAATGAGCAGCTCCAGAACCCCAGAGACCACCAGAGCCCAAGGGCCTGTCACCAGAGCTGCTGCTTCAAAGATCAAAGTGGCCGTGATGGCTCCAAAAACAAAAGGCATGATGTAGTTGACCGTGGCAGAGCAAAATGCCAGGATAAAGGACAGAAGGATATAAGGGATCAGACCAGCAATGGCTGACTCTTCTATGGACACACATAAGTGGCACTGTGTTGAGTTTTGAAGAGAAGTGTTGACCATCATGTTGGTGGTTGAACCATTGAACATGTGCTCTGACACTGATGGTATAGTCTGATTGTTAAATAAAGCACCATAGTAGATTCTGGTCGCCCCATAGCTACCCCAAAGGGCAGCGTAGCCGATGAAGGCAGTGCCACTCAGGTGATCGTACTTTCTAAAGGAGAGCAGTCCAGCCACCAGCTGGCACAAACCACCAATCAGGATGAGATGAACACCTGGAAGAAGTGTTAGAAACTGCTGTAAGCCACCTTCACAGGTTTATATATGAATAGATATTTGTGTTTATGTCAAGAGTTTTACCTGCAAGTATGTTCTCCACTCCAACTGGTTTAATGCCAGTGTGAGCTGTGCTGAAGTTCTGTAGAAGTACAAGGAATGCGCTGATCCCATTGGATAACATTCCTAACACTCCTGGTTCTCCATAGAAACTGGCAGGAAAACCGTCTGAGGCTGCCATGGTGTTTCTGTAGACAATCCAGTCAGTACAGGTAACATATGATAAAAGTCTAAAATGGTAATCCTCAACAACATTTATATATGAATTTTAATATGACTGTATAATATAATATAATATAATATAATATAATATAATATAATATAATATAATATAATATAATATAATATAATATGATATAATATGATATGATATAATATAATATAATATAATATAATATAATATAATATAATATAATATAATATAAGACGGTCCTTGCCTGTCATAAGTAGGCTGAGCCACTTTTGTCATGTAACTAATGTAAAAGTCATTTATTACGATGCTAACAGGCTCTCTGAAGAGGAAGAATTTATTCTAAATGAAAACAATTTTATCAATAGAATAATACCCCTAACATTACTGTTATTTTCATGTTGTTGAAAAACTACAGGATATTGCAATAATAGTTTTAGTATTTATAAATACAGTGGGGCAAAAAAGTATTTAGTCAGCCACCGATTGTGCAAGTTCTCCCACTTAAAATGATGACAGAGGTCAATAATTTACATCATAGGTACACTTCAACTGTGAGAGGCAGAATGTGAAAAAAAATCCTTCAATTCACATGGCAGGATTTTTAAAGAATTTATTTGTAAATCTGGGTGGAAAATAAGTATTTGGTCACTTCAAACAAGGAAAATCTCTGGCTCTCACGGACCTGTAACGTCTTCTTTAAGAAGCTTTTCTGTCCTCTACTCATTACCTGTATTAATGGCACCTGTGTGAACTCATCTGTATAAAAGGCACCTGTCCACTGCCTCAAAAAGTCAGACTCCAAACTCCACTATGGCCAAGACCAAAGAGCTTTCGAAGGACACCAGGAAAAGAATTGTAGACCTGCACCAGACTGGGAAGAGTGAATCTACGATAGGCAAGCAGCTTGGTGTGAAAAAAATCAACTGTGGGAGCAATTATCAGAAAATGGAAGACATACAAGACCACTGATAATCTCCCTCGATCTGGGGCTCCATGAAAGATCTCATTCCGTGGGGTCAAAATGATCATGAGAACGGTGAGCAAGAATCCCAGAACCACACGGGGGGACCTGGTGAATGACCTGCAGAGAGCTGGGACCACAGTAACAAAGGTCACCATCAGTAACACACTACTACGGCAGGGAATCAAATCCTGCAGTGCCAGACGTGTTCCGCTGCTGAAGCCAGTGCATGTCCGGGCCCGTCTGAAGTTTGCCAGAGAGCACATGGATGATACAGCAGAGGATTGGGAGAATGTCATGTGGTCAGATGAAACCAAAGTAGAACTTTTTGGAATAAACTCAACTCGTCGTGTTTGGAGGAAGAAGAATATTGAGTTGCATCCCAAGAACACCATACCTACTGTGAAGCATGGGGGTGGGAACATCATGCTTTGGGGCTGTTTTTCTGCTAAAGGGACAGGACGACTGATCCGTGTTAAGGAAAGAATGAATGGGGCCATGTATTGTGAGATTTTGAGCCAAAACCTCCTTCCATCAGTGAGAGCTTTGAAGATGAAACGTGGCTGGGTCTTCCAACACGACAATGATCCCAAACACACCGCGCGGGCAACAAAGGAGTGGCTCTGTAAGAAGCATTTGAAAGTCCTGGAGTGGCCAAGCCAGTCTCCAGACAACCCCATAGAAAATCTGTGGAGGGAGTTGAAAGTCCGTGTTGCTCGGCGACAGCCCCAAGACATCACTGCTCTCGAGAAGATCTGCATGGAGGAATGGGCCAAAATACCAGCTACTGTGTGTGCATACCTGGTAAAGACCTATAGTAATCGTTTGACCTCTGTTATTGCCAACAAAGGTTATGTTACAAAGTATTGAGTGGAATTTCTGTTATTGACCAAATACTTTTTTTCCACCCTGATTTACAAATAAATTCTTTAAAAATCCTGCCATGTGAAGTCATGGATTTTTTTTTTTCACATTCTGTCTCTCACAGTTGAAGTGTACCTATGATGTAAATTACTGACCTCGGTCATCATTTTAAGTGGGAGAACTTGCACAATCGGTGGCTGACTAAATACTTTTTTGCCCCACTGTAAACTCTTGTCAGGGAGCATCCTTTATGCAGATTTAGGTTTGATTCAATCTACAAAGCAGAGTATATAATAATCTAGCTACAGGTTTAAGGATTTTTGATGGGTGACATGCAGAAACAAAATACTTACTCCTGTCAGCAATAAAAGAAAGAACAAAGTTTTACCTGTTGAAGTTGTTCAGACTGATGGAAAGCTGAGTTGTGCTGAAGGAGGGACGAAGGTTTGCCTTAAATATGATCTGTTTGTGTAAAGGAGGAGTTACTGAGATTTCCCCACTCTGTCACACAGCAGCATACTTACAGGTGACATCACTGCCTTTCACTTTACACAAAAGTGGCTTTTCCTCCTTCTTTCCTCTTCCTCCCCCTCAAGGCTATTGATGATGGTGAACGTTACACCACAGATAATGACCCGGGTGGAAAAGCCTCATTCTGATGTGATACAGGATTGCAAAAGGAACCTGCCCTTCCTGCTCCTTTGGTGTTTCCGGTCATTGTAAGTCCTGGACTATATAAGGCAGGTGGATTTTCAGCCACAAAAGCATCAGCATCCTTCACTGCTCAGCTGCTGCATCCAAGAGAAACAAGAAACAAGATCATTGTGACAGAAACTTGAAGTCATGTTCTCCACGCTACAGGTAAGATTACAGACATATTTATGCTTTTAGTCAGTTTTCAGACTCTAAAAGTGATGGTTTTAAGTCCTTTTCAAATAAAGAAGTCATAAAAATATCTAAAAGTAGAGGTTTGTAGTGCGGCCAAGGCAGGGAACTATAAAATAACTCCTGCTAATTGTTGAGGAGAACACTCATGCTGGGAAACACCTGTTACACCTCTACACTGGCTCTTTCAAACACAAACATTAGATTAAAGACGTGAACAAGTAAATGCAGGAACTCATCAGCCTGTAGTCATCCTGAGATGTGAAAAATAACTGAAATGCTTTGTTCTGATTTATGTTTTGTCCCAAAGTAAACCATCAGACCAGTGCGGGCTGCCAGAAGACTGCATAACACTGCAGTGGAGGGTAAACAGATATGCTGACTTTGATTAAAAATAATAATAATAACCTTAATTAATAACCTTTATTAAACAACTTTTATCTTTTCATTCCTGCAGTCCAGAAGCACCCAGCCCCAGAAGATACGGTCACATCCAGTTTTGGGAAGTTCATCAGTGAAATAAAGCCTCAGCATTTGTCTCCGGTTGTGCTCCATCGCAGCAAAAGGATGGTGCTGGACAGCATCGGGGTCGGACTGATAGGGAGCAGGACAGATGTGTTTGAGCTGGCTCTTCAGTTCTGCCAGGTGAGGCAAAGTGAAAGTCTGAGTCAGGTCCAACCCAAATATGTCCAGAACAGATGAGTGAATGTAGGGTTGTTTCTGTGTTTGTTCTTAGCACATGTATGCTCCGGATCACATCAGCTCTGTGTACGGACGCAGAGGGATCAGACTCTCCCCAACACTGGCAGCTTTCGTTAATGGAGTAGCGGTGAGAAACATACGTGGAAAACAACCATATATAAATAACCACATAAACATCAGTGGAAACATTTTGTATAAACAGCTTTTCTCAGCTGTTGGTGCAGCGTGGCTCCCAAAGACCACAGGGTTAGGATGTAGAAATAAAATCAGCTGAGCTGGCCTTAAAGTTTCCCATCAAATATTTCCAAAGAAGCTACTTTCTTCCCCCTCGATGGCTGGATTTAGGAATGAAAGTCATTTTTCTTTTGAAAACACACCAGGAACAGAAAACATGTCAGTGTTCACTTCAGAAAAAAAAAACATAAAGAAATGGATCATTCAGACACGGCACAGGCAAGGTGTTCATAGCTGGGTTCTGATCTAGTTATGACCCTCGCAGAAAAAGTTATTATTCTGACTCCTTTCAGCTTCAGTATGATGAGACACAAACTCTGGTTGCTTCCAGACTCATTCCATGGACTTTGACGACACGTGGCATCCAGCCACTCATCCCTCAGGAGCTGTTCTCCCAGCTTTGTTTGCTCTCAGTGACATGATGCCGGAAAACAGCAAACCAAGCGGTCTGGACTTCTTGCTGGCCTTCAATGTCGGCACTGAGATCCAGGGCCGTCTGATGAGGTTCTCTAATGAAGCACGCAGCATTCCCAAGAGGTCAGTGCCTCACAGCACAAGTCAAGCTTGAACCAGAAAGTCTGGTTTTAGCACGATCTTCATGAACACGTTCGTTTAAAGACGTCCTTGTTTGACTGTGCTGATCTCAGCACTGAGGTGTAAGAGGCCGTTTTAGTGATGTCAGTGTAATGATGCTTACTGTAGGAACAGCAGGGGCTCTTGGTGTAACGTTAACAGAATTAGCACAAATCAAACCCTTCATCTGGTGGGTGTTTTAGAAACTCAGGTGACCTGAAACGAGTCAAATCAATTCATCTTGTTCTAAAGATTCAACCAATAGAAACGTTCTTAAGTGGTGATGCAGATCAGTGATTGTTTCAGTTACAACAGAATAAATGTCCTAACTGAAGTGTGTGTGTGTGTGTGTGTGTGTGTGTGTGTGTGTGTGTGTGTGTGTGTGTGTGTGTGTGTGTGTGTGTGTGTGTGTGTGTGTGTGTGTGTGTGTGTGTGTGTGTGTGTGTGTGAACAGGTTCCATCCTCCCACTGTGGTGGGTCCTATGGGAAGTGCAGCAGCCTGTTCTCGTCTCCTGTCTCTGGATCCGTCTCAGTGCAGTCATGCCTTGGCTATAGCAGCTTCTCTAGCTGGAGCTCCAATGGCTAATGCTGCCACTCAGTCCAAGCCCCTTCACATCGGCAACGCCTCTCGTTTGGGTCTTGAAGCTGCTCTGCTGGCCTCCAGAGGCCTAGAGGCCAGTCCTCTGGTCTTGGATGCTGTTGCAGGAGTGGCGGGCTTCAGCGCCTTTTATGAAGATTATGTTCCTCAGCCTTTAGAGTCACCTGATGATGGTGGACATGTGTTCCTGTTAGAG